ATTTTTATACATTTAAAAATGTGTGTATAAAATATTTTTATACATTTAAAAATGTATGTATAAAATATTTATATAATTAAAAATGTATTAATAATAATAATAATAATAATAACAACAACAATCAATGTAAGGGTAAATCCGAACATTTTTTAAAAACTTAAGGGTAAATCTGAACATTTTTGAAAATTCAAGGGCTTTACTGGCATTAGGTAACCGGTAGGTTACCTGAAAACCGGCTACAAGGGTAAAAATGAACAAATTAAACAAAACTTTGGGGCTTTACTGGACATAAAACACGTCCAAGGGTAAAACCGACATTTTTGTGAAAACTTAAGGGCTTTTATGTCATTTTCCCTTGATTGGAAAAAATAAAGTACTATTGGTTAAATATATTAATATAATATAGTTTTGTGTAATTTTCCCTAAAATATATAACACAAATAGAGTCATTTTTATATAAAGTGTTTGAAATTATTTGCTTACGGGTTTGTTATCAACTGCTACAATGATGTCACCGAGAACAATATTACCCGCAAATCCTCTTGTGGTGGGAAGAAGACCAATTTTTGCTGCCGGACTATTTGTAGGAACCTTAAAAACCGCAAAATTAAGAAAATTGAAAACATGTAGTGAAATTTCAAAATGATTATTATTTAATATTTTATTTATTTATTTATTACCAGTAGAACAAGAGCTCCGTTTCGAACATTAAGTTGATTTGCAACAACATCAGGGGCAATTTCAATATTTAATCCAGCTCGAACAACCTAACATACATAGATATTTGGTTAATTTAGAAAAAGGTCTAAAACTTTTGTGGTTTGATTGGAAAAATAAAATAAAGTAAAAGTGGTTAAACCTCAAAATTTCCAAAAATATATCGGTTTTAGTGTAAATTGCACAACTATATATATGGGTATGTATTTTATTTTGAAATTAATACTTAAAGAACTTACTTTTCCAAACTTAATCAACTGAGGGACTATCTTAACTACCGTGGAGGAAGGGATAGCAAATCCCACCCCCGCTGAAGTCCCTGTCACGTCAAAACTACATTGTCAGTAATCTCTAAATTGGAATTATTTATTATTTATTATGAGACAAATAACAAATAGTAGAAAAATCACATCACCTGTTTGTGTGAATATCGCAGTGTTGATCCCGATTAAATTTCCTTTAGAATCTAACAACGGGCCTCCACTGTGAAGACATTATAATGTATACATACATATTATTTAAATGTAACTACTTGATATTATTGATAAAAGAGAATGTAAGATTTATAAAAAAATTAAAAAAAAAAAGGGACCTGTTTCCAGGGTTGATGGCAGCATCAGTTTGAATTCCTCCACCAATTGTGACTCCAGTTTGACTAAATATGTCTCTGTTAAGGCCACTAATAACACCCACAGTGAGTGTGTGGTCAAACCCAAAAGGGTTCCCAATGGCTAAACATTGTTGACCAACTTTTAAGAAAGATGATTGACCGATTTTCATTGGCCTTAAAAGATCTGTAGGTGCTTCCACCTGTACTTTCATTTCACCATTTTATCAATTTAGCTTTTAGCCACTAAATTATTATAAATTAAATTTAACTAGAAAAAAACCCATGCTACGCAATGGGGTCGGGTTTTTTTTATGTATTATCAACAGTTTAGTAAAAGCCAATGAGGACAATTTTTGTAATTAGTTTCGTACACAGGGGTCAAACAGGCCAAAATACAAAAATCTTACACATATAGACTGTTTTTGAAAAAAAAAAAAAAAAAAAAAAAAAAAAAAAAAAAAAACTTTACAGGGACCTTTTTCTATAAGTTAAACAATTGCAGGGACTAAATTTGCCAAAATGTAAAGCCTTTGTTGCAGGGACTAAATTTGCCAAAATGTAAAGCCTTTGTTGCAGGGACTAAATTTGCCAAAATGTAAAGCCTTTGTTGCAGGGACTAAATCTGTCAAAATGTAAAGCCTTTGTTGCAGGGACTAAATCTGTCAAAATGTATAACCTTTGTGTTTTGCAGGGATTAAATATGCCAAAATATAAAACCTTTGTTGCAGGGACTAAATCTGCCAAAATGTAAAACCTTTGTTTGTAGGGTAGTAATCTGCCAAAATAGAAAACATTTGTGGCAAAAGTCCAAAAGTGAAAAATACCACTATTCATAAGCACAATGAGAATTAATAGTATATATAATATATAATATATAATATAATACTTTTTTTACCATATTTTAAGGAACCTTTTTTACTGATTACATATCAGGGGCAAAATAGTGAAATACAACAGATAAGATAAGCACAACACACTTTCACCATTTATTGATTTAGCCACTCAACTATTATTTTTCTTTGAATTCACTAAACTGTTATTACAAAAAATTAATAGATTAGGGGATATATCGATATACTTTATTCAACGTTTTTTTAATAAAAGTAATTTTTCCAGATATCAAGACAAAAAAATACAAAAACCAGGTAACGAGGAAAATGGTTTTTTTTAATGGTTAAAAAATAATAATGGTTTATTTTAAAGGGTAAACCAATAAAATAGTGAAAATATTTTCCAATATTATGAAAGGAGAGATTGGAAAAAAAAAAAAAAATTTACCTGTAAGACAGCAAGGTCCTTGGATCTATCTGCACCTATTAATTTGGCTTCAAAATTCTTTTGTACCCTTTCAATATAAGAAATTGGTGAGGTAAAATGTATATAAATTACTAAATATATATCATAAGATAAAAAAAAAAAAAAAACAGTCTCACCCTTCTGTGGCAAGAATATTAACTCGTGCAACAACTTGTCCAGGTTTTGGATTCCTTGATAAAGAATTGCCAATAACTGCTCAACCATAAGAGTAATTTGATGATAATTTTTATAATCATATTTAATATATTAATCATTTATGAAATTTTAAAGAAAGGAAAACATTGTATGTTATTACCATGGTAATTCGTGACAATGTGCCCTTCTTCATCCCAAACAACTCCTGAACCATTTCCTTCAGGAATCTGCAAATAATCTAGAAATCAGATAAAACTACTCTTATGTCCAATCATTAACAATAAGTTTTCTAGGGCATTCACGTCTTTTTGCAGAGATGAGAGTTGAGAGATCAAGAGCAAGTCCATGTCCCATCTTTTTGGGCATTGTATCAGTGTCAAATCTCAGTCGCAGTCCAATATATGTTAAACACACTATAATGGGGTCTATATATTTGTTCAAAATTACCTCAACTACCCCTGTAACATTAAGCTGGGGGCGAAGAGTTACATCAAATATATTGACAACAGAGTAAGTGTTGTTCTCAAATAGCTTCACGATTCTTTCCTGCCATTGCCAAGCATACACATATCAATATACCTGCCATGAACATACATTATAAAGGGTAAAATATACAAGCGAACTGGTTTCAAGAATAGAATTGATAAAAATAATGAAGAAGAAACCTCAGGAGGAAAAAGTGGCCCAGAAGGGATAACAACTGGTGTTACTTGTTCAAGTGTCACAGAAGTGTCTCCTAAAGCATTAGCTGATAAACAAATGTTCATATAAAAAAGATTAGAAAGAAAACTAAGAATTGCTTAAAGGAAACAGGATGGATAAATGGATTGTTCGAACCTGATGAGTACCTTGAAGGGGGATAGTATAATAAGGGCATCAATAAACTTGTTAACAGCATTCTTCGTGTTGTAAAAAAAACTTTTGTAACCTCTCCCAAATCATTGAGTGTTTTTTCGCTAACTCTGCATATACGAAAGAAAAGCTGTATGAAAAAGCATGGAAGTAATGAACTAATGATAACGCAAATTGAAAAATCAGAAATAAGATCTTCGAATTTTCAATTAATCAGGTAATCAAGAGCTTAATGCTGAGAATAGTCAAGTGTTTCATACGTCATTACCACCCAATTTCCCCTTACATTAGGTTAATTCTCAACAACAAACGCCCAAACTAGTCAATTACACAATCATATTTTATATCAATCCTGAAAAACAAACGATCAATGTACAGTAGCATACGAATTTCAAAATAGCAATGTAAGTAATTCAGGAGTAGGTAAATCGAAAACAATACGTTTTGGTGAAGATGCGATGACGAGGTGAAACGGAGTCGTCGTCATGATGCGTGTCTGAGGAAGAACACATGGATGAAATTCCATCGAAACAGAGTTTCCGGCGACCGACAAAGCGGCGTACAGGAGCCATAACTTTACTTTCCGTTTGCGGAGGAAGCATGTAACCATTCCAAGCCATCACCACTCCCATTATCGCATACAAAATCCCTAAATTTCAAAATTTTCACTTATAGTACAGAAGGAAGATATGAATACAGCAAATTTGGCCAGTTCCTCTTTTTGCTGGTTTCAGCTATGACATCGAGGGCTTGTTACTCTTATCGCCTCCGTATTGCTCAAAAATATCTTCACATCTTCAAATGGGTTTGAATTGCAACTTTGCAAGTCCAAAACAAAAATATCTTCACTTCTACAAAATTTATTAATTTACTAGTATTCACAAATAGTTAAATTAAATTCTTTTCTTATCTTAGCAATAAATCTTGATTGTGTTATTTTTGTAATTTATGGTAATTTAAGTGTTTGCAAAATTTGTGTTTGTGAAATTTGAAATTTTTTAGTTTTAAAGGGCAGTTTTGTGGTAATAAAAAAAATTAGCTTGTTATATACGTCCGTGAAACACAATATTTTTTATTCATAAATAAAATCACAAACAATAAATTTAGAACATTTATATGTTCTAATCAACTTTTGCAATTACCTTCAATATAATATTAACACTCATTCAAAATTGATTTCAAATATATTATTAATGACTTAATATTTTGTAATAAATATATAAATTATTTAGAAATAATAATTATTTAATTTATATATATTTAATTTATATATATATATATATATATATATATATATATATATATATATATAAAAGTTCAATAGAGAACCATTAT